GCTGTTCCCCCCATCTGGAACTTTCTTCCACAGACTTCCTCATGGTTTGTCTCCTTATTTCTTCAAGCTCATGCCTCATTATCCTATCTCCTTGACCACTGGACTGTTATGCCGCAGACTGTTGTTTGACTGTTGATTGATGTGGGTAGGCCCAGCTCACTGTGAGCAGTGCCGCCCCTGGGCAGGCGGGACTGCGCCTTATAAGAGAGGGAGTTAAGCAAGTCGGGAAACAATTCAGTAAGTTACCCCTGCTCTAGCTCCTTCCTCCAGGCTCTTTCTTGGGCTCCAGATGGGAGGAATCTGTAACCTGGAGGCTAAAACCAATCCATTTGTTTACGGTGTGTATCACAGCAATCGGCAGGCACACCAGGACAGTCCTCTACTAAAGAAATACAGCTTTTTAATTTTTAGGAAATGTTTTTAATGGATTTTAATCTTCCTGAATGATGGAATGCCTTTAACGCGGCAGTGAGCCTGGGCCTTGTGTCTGGATGTATCCTGTCTTGGGGGAGAGTGATGAGGAGGCACAGCTTTTCTCTGAGCCACCCCAGTGAGAGCACAGCGCGGACACTGAGCTTAGTTTTATGTACCTTATGCTCTAGGTAACAGGGAGATGATTGCAGAAGATGGCACTAAGAAGGATTAAGTGTGATTATTTATGAGGCATAGTTAAAAAGAGACAGCGTCCATATGTTCTCTAACTATAGGGAATATCCTGATCTCTTCACTATCTAATGAGTAGATCCACCCGAGGAATCTATTTAACATGGGAAAACAAAAGAATAAATAGGACAAAGGGACAGAACAAGAGAGAGCAGAAGATTTGGACAATATTTAGTATGTCATAAGATGGTTTTATGCTCTTTTTAGCAACTGTATTTTCCCTGACAGCCCGAAAATCTCCAGGATTACAAGCTGGGATTTGTGAAGGAGACTGGAGCATTTCAGGACAGCTGAATTTCCCAGTCTCTCTTTAGTTTGGATGATAAAAACAAAACATTGCTTTCCCTGGGTTAATATAGTTTCATTTTGGATGTATTTTTCTCAAATAAATGCCCTCAGAATGCTTGCCTGACTGTCTAGTTTATGACCTGTAACATATGGCTAAAATGAATTATGCAGAGGGCTGGACTCTTTGACTGCCAATGACTGCTTAGTTTTGAGACTTTCTACAGTAAAGATTTCTGTGTAGGTCCTGTGAGCTTGAAGAAGATGCTCTTGGGACTCCACTATGTGATCTCCAGGTGCCCCACAGGGGAGGATGATCCTGTATTTCTCATAGTGGAAGGTTACAGGGAGGTCGTCTGGATGCCTTTGCCTCCTGACTTCGCTTACTACTCTGGGGCTCTTCTAGCTGTTCATTGTGTGCGCCCTGCCGTTATAGCCTAGCTATGGTGGCATGCTTCTTTCTTGACTTTCGTTGAGGAGAAAGTTCGACAGAAAGTGCTTGCTTCTCAGAGTTTGCATAGCAGGAGACAAGGGAAGAGCAGAATGACAAACAGTGCCTACTGTCTTAAGCAAAGCTACTTGCTCTGAAGAAACGCTGTGGAAGTACAACTTACGGAACTCCTTCACAAGAAATGCCTTCTAGGTCTACACATTACTTCCATCTTTGCCCCTCTCCCCCACCATGAAGCTCTGGTGTTTCTTTAAGATCATGAGAAAAAAAAGAGATAAACAACAAAAAAAAATGAGCATGTCTTCAGCAGTATGTTCTCTAAGTCTCCTTTCCACATCTCTTGATCTTTCCTCTATGTACCCTACTCACTATGACTCCTCTTACAGTCCCCAAGAGTTCCTGTTTCCCAGATCACTATTTGGTTTACATGCCTTAATGAAGATTGTTAGAGAGGATAGTCTATTTTAATTGTTCACATGGTAGAGGGTACAAGGGTAAAGCGGTAAGCAGCTTGGACTGCACATGACCGTGTGTGTGTGCGTGCAGCATCCCTCCCTGTCACACACACACACACACACACACACACACACACACACACACACACACATACACACAGACCTTGGTACGTATTGACCTCATTTTGGGATTATTCTTATTCTATTAGTCTCCATGACACAGCAGTGGCAGATTTCCACCCGTGTCTTATTTCCAACGGCATGACTTCAATTTCTAACTTTGTGTTCCCAGAGGCCTGATAGTTCAGAACATAAACATCCCCTAAAGCATCCCCTACTGAGAGACGGGAATTAGTGCTTCAGTAACCTAGGTCTTCTGCTTACCTGTTGGGATAAATCAATTCAGCATAGTCTTCTTAAGACTCCCCAGGAGGACTGAGCTACAGTTGCCACCGCAAGTGACATGATGGATGGGCCACTTGGTGGTGGTGGTGGTGGTGGGGAGTGTGTCTTCCCTTCCCTGTTTCACTTTCCTATTCTTTTTCTGGTATTTCCTGTAAGTACTCTGTGATAAACAACTCTCAGGACATGCTTCTGGAAAACCTACACTGAAGTAATTATTCAATCAGTTTCTAGATTAGATTGTAACCTTCCAGTTGATTGTCTTGGTGCTTAAAAGTCTTGGATCTTGGAAGAAGGCAGAAGGTGGTGGTATATACCTTTAATCCCAGCACTCGGGAGGCAGAGGCAGGCAGAGCTCTGTGAGTTCGAGGCCAGCCTGGTCTATAAGAGCTAGTTCCAGGACAGGCCCCAAAGCTACAGAGAAACCCTGTCTTGAACAACCCCCCCCCCCCAATAAAAGAAGTCTTGGATCAAAAAACCAGATCCAAAGATCCAAGCTCCAAGACCATGTGTGTTCTTTTTTTTTTTTTTTTTGGTTTTTCGAGACAGGGTTTCTCTGTGGCTTTGGAGCCTGTCCTGGCACTAGCTCTGTAGACCAGGCTGGTCTCGAACTCACAGAGATCCGCCTGCCTCTGCCTCCCGAGTGCTGGGATTAAAGGCATGCGCCACCATCGCCCGGCATGTTCTTGTTGTTCTTTATATTGCTTAAGGTGACAGCTCACCCAGCAGCCCAGAAACATTCACAGCCAAATGTTTATATTCATATAGCTATGTTAATAAGCTGTTTGCCAATGCTATAACAATCAGTACACACAATGTCATATCTTAAATGTATTGATATTCATCTTTAAGTAGTACTGCAGACTGGTACTTCCTTGGGGGGGGTTAAGTGTTATGGTTCCTGGCTTCCTATGGCCCAGGGATTTTATTCCACATTTAGTTTGGCACTCTGCTACACAGTAGACATGGGTGGTGACATCTCTCATGCTGATCAGCTAGAGCAGAGCTGGGACTGGGGAGCCAACTCTATGCTCATGAAAGCTAAAAAGAATTGTTGTATTATAGGAAATAACCTTAAGCTGTCAGAAGCCTGTGTGAGGAAGCCCAGAGAGAGTTTTAATCCCTATGTACGGGATTAGCTCGGTGTAATATTGACCCGAGTTCTTGCTGTTTTAACTGTTATTCTTTCCGTGTTTCACCGTCATTCCTAGTTTACCTAGGGACTCAGTGTTAATAGGTGTATTTGACGACCATCCTGTGTGACATTCTCCCAAAGTAGTTTCCAAGGACCTCGGTATTTCTTACCAGGAAGCTTTACGCACACCTTGCTACTCGGCAAGTTCAAACTTCTGAAAGGGTGAGCGATCTGAGACTCGTACAACCTCCTGCTAGTCATGAAAGAATGGCAAGGGGAAGGGTGCTGTGCCACAGAAAACAGCGACATGTCATTGCTGCTCCTTGTTTAGAAACATTAAAGATTAGCAAATATCTTTCTTTTCTCCTACTCAGATCTGGGAGAGAATGGAAGAAAGAGAAAGGGGCATTTTCTTTCTTTCTTTTTTTAGATTTTTGAGACAGGGTTTCTCTGTAGCTTTGGAGAGCCTGTCCTGGAACTAGCTTTTGTAGACCAGGCTAATCTCGAATTCACAGAGATCCATCTGCCTCTGCCTCCCAAGTGCTGGGATTAAAGGTATGCGCCACCACTGCCTGCACTGCCTGGTGGAAGGAGCATTTCTAAGAAGGAAAGAAGATTATACTCCCTGCTAAGGAGCGTGATCATGTGGCAACCATATAGTTACTCCAGAATTTGCAACTGCATTCATTGGGAAATTAAGTTGTTTCTCTCATCCATTATTAGACCCGGAATATGTTTAGGTTTAGAATCGGCTAAGTCAACGATTTCTCCGCCATTCATGCGGCATCTGGTAAAGAATACACTGAGGAAATGACTGAATAAAAATGAAAAAGAGCAGGCATAAAAGACCCGTGGTGATCAGAGATGAGTTGAATGGATATGAGCGAGAGATAGAAGAGAAGGTCATATCTAGATATCATTCAATTATTCAAAACTTATTTACTATGTTTGACTCGTTGTTTCGCTCCCCTAGGTGTAAGAAATACGACAGCCAAATAAAAATCTACTTCTTCAAGTATCCTGGTGGAACAGTAAGACAATAAATGGCACCAATAAGTAACTTGCAGTGTTCGCTGGTGAGAGCCTAGTTGAAAATATTGCAAGGGCGGAGGATTAAGACCGGGGAAAGGCATGGGAAGGTTGTGCTGTGATTTTGACAGGATGTCAGGGGAGGACAAAGGGAGCCGTATGATGGATCAAGTAGGGCTTTGGGGGCCTCGGGAATGTGTTCTGGGAGAAATACAAAGGTCTTAAGGAAACAAGAAGGAGCCAAGGTGGGGGAAAGGAGACGCAGCACCGTTAGATCAGCTCCGAAAGGAAAGAAAGCAAACGTACAGGGAAGGCTTTCGTTTCAAGAGAAAATAATCATGCTTCTTTTTCTCATTTGGAAAAAGCCAAAGATTGTGTGATTTATGACAAAAATCTCCTTTCAAAAGGGAGTGTCACCTTAGACAATCTACTCCAAGACTTGGTGTCACTGCCCTTTGGCTTCCGATTGGCAGGGCGTAAGCTCGTGCTCCTCATCGATTGGTCCCCGCTCCTGTCTCCAGGCGGGAAGCCATATTGGATCCCGCCCTTGCCGCGGGGCGCTGTGGGGATTGTAGTCCGTCCCGTTTGGCCCAGCAGCCGAACCGTTCCCCCCCTCAGCTCCCCGGTCCACCCCAGTGGGCACCCACTCAGGCGGCGCTCCCGCCCTCTGCCTTTCATTCCAGCCGCCAAGATCTTGGAAGGTAGGGGCCCGGGAAGCGAGCCCAAGTGGAAGAGAACGTGGGGCGCGGGCTGGGTTCCCACGCGCGTACCTCTGCTGCCGGCGGGGCGGGGCCAGGCCAGCACTTGCAAGACCCTCGGGGTAAACTGAGGCACGGGGTCGCGCCAGCGGATTCTCGAGGTGTAGTTGGCTAATAGTTTGTCAGTACCGTAGAAAAGTGTCAGGGACCTCTGACCCAAACAGGTCTGGGTTAAACAGATAACCTAGCTTTAGAGTCCCCAAAGGTCTGAACCGGTGCCAGGGCAGCAGCAGAGCCAGGCACACCGAGCACAAAGTTTCGGGAAAGAATTTGCCTTTGATAAGTGTGAAAGCAAAATAAAGAAAAGCCGACAAACTCCCATCCGTTCCCTGTGGCGCGAGAACGCGTCACTCGTCGGACCTTAACACCTTCGTGCATTTTAATTTGGGTTTCACACGCGGGGACCGGGAAGCTGTAAACGTAGGTAGAAGGAAGGAGGCGGGTTTGCCTCTGCCCTGGGACTCTGGACCACCCGCCCAGCGGTCCTCACGTGGATAAAAATCAGCTCCCTGCTCTAGTGGCCCAGAGAAGCTGCCTAGAGCTGTAGTCGACCTTGAGGCCAGGCTTGCGAAAGTTTGTCATTGGAAAAGGGCTTATTTTCGGTCTTTCAGAATTGTGCTGAAAATACCCTGTGGTTGTTTCGGGCATAACTAGGGCGAGGCCTGGACTGCCAGGTGCAGCTCAGCTCAAACCTGTGCTTAAGCGGATTGCAACTGAAAGCTCCTTTTTTTTTTTTTTTTTTTTTTTTTTTTTTTTTTTTTTTTTTTTTTTTTTTTTTTTTCTGGCTCCATTTTACGACCCAAGACCTGGGCTGCGGAGGCTTCTGGGATTTGTAGTCCTACCCCGTGTACCCTACTGGCCTGGCACTACAGTGCCCAACGTGCCATTTGGCCTGGAGAGATGTCTTCTGGGAGTTGAAGTCTCACTCTCGGGATCCCCAAGAGGTAGTCCACTCCCGTAGAACTACGACTCCCACATGCCCTCCCTTCTTGCCTGCCTTCTTTTTCCATCTGCTTAATTAAGATGGGGCTAAAGGTAAAGGATTAGAGAACATACGCCCATCTCTTTTTCTCCCCCTCTGATTGCATATGCTATGAAAAGTATTAGGTATGGAGTTTTCGTTAATGCATGTTTACATGGTCTTCAAATAATTCTGTGTCTCCCATAATAAAAAGCTTGAGAAGATGGCCGAGATGGCTGTCATGGTTTCATAGCAGTAGCAAAATTGTGCTATAGATTCATTTATAATTTAAATTCCTTTAGAGCGATATGGTAGAATTTTTTTTAAAAAAAAAATAATAGAAGTTTTGGGTTTGTAGCGCCTTCTGTTTGCTAGTTTGTTTCTTCCTAGCAAAAGAACCTACCTCACAGAATGCATTCTGAGACTCTGGCCTGTTGGAGTATAGAATACAAAACCTTTCAATTGCACAATGGCACTTCTGTAATTAGACACTAAATGCTATGTAACGGCGTAAGCGAATGCAGACATATTGTCAAAATATAGACAGCTTTAATGGAGGAATAGACTTACAGAACCACCGTTCCCTCGGAGACCAGGAAAGCAGAAGCGAGCGCTGGGAACACGCTCGCCAAATTTATAGGAAAACTTTAGCCTGAGGCGAACACGCCCCCTAAGGGGTGGGACTTATCCCTACATCTCCCCCTTTTGTCTAAATAAGACAGAACTAAACCAAATACAACTATATACAATAATAACAAATAAATATAACAAACAATATTGAGAATCAAAAGTTTTGCTAAACATTCTATCTCAAGGAGTCTAAATAATGTAGAGAGTAACTACAATTATATAATCTTCAACTCCATCAAAGATCCGAGAAGGGAATAAATATTACTTAACAAAAGAGATATATCCAAAATGTGTAACAATTGACAAAGACAACTGACTACCTGGGCAATCACCCAAAGTCTCGTTTGCATTGTTGAGTCAACCAACTTTGGCTAAGGCCTAACATAACTGACATACCATTATTAAAGGCAAGGAACTTTTCAAAACTATCTTACCCTGTCTTGGCAGGATATGACAGTCCTGTTGTATCCATTGATGCACACTCTGTATCTCTGTCAGTGGTTGAGGTATGGGCTTTTCTTAACCCAAAGGCCAGTTCTGCCAAGAAGACAAGCTCCCAGTGGAGTGTCTTTGGTGCTCAATGTTCTCTCGGGAATAGAGCAGTGTTGCCAGGAGCAATTGTGTCTCACTATCACGAAACTCTGAGTTATATTAAAGGCCATATTCTACAGCTCTTCAAAGAGGTTGAAGATTATCTATACTGAGTATAATCTCTATATATCTAAAGAACCTGATTAGTCTAATTACAAATGACAAACTTAGATGACTATTAATCTATATAATTCTCAATATCTATCTAACTTAAAGACTAAGACAATAAACAACTGTGCAATATATGGAGACAATGATCTTCATCTGTAAACAATGTCATTACATATCAAATGTAAACAATGTTATTACATAAATAGTATCAGAGGTAGAAATGTACATTGTGATATGGTAGATGTATCAATACAATATAAGCATACTCTTATACAAAAATAGAGGTAGGAACACTCACATTCAATATTCAATATGTCAATATACAGAAAACAGTACCAATACAATTTTCTAAAAACAGTAACTCACAAATACCAATCATCCCATCAAACCAGTTAATCCCCCCCTTTTTTTTTTTCGAACATACCCCTAATTCCATAAAACATCTCCCCATCCCCTCAACCCCAAACCAACCACTAAAAGATGTCCCTAACCCTGAGGGCAAACTCTGTTGCGAGAGGGGACGTCCTCTAAGATTGCTTCAAGCTGACATGGGGGCGATGTTCTCCTTAGGGGCTCCTGTGAAAGCAAATGATGGTAAAATTCCCAAATTAACCTTTGACCTAAGAAAATTATAACTAGTCCCTGAGCACTTTGAGAAGGTCCGGCCAGAGTGTTGTCAAAAATGTGCACCATTCGAAATTGTCTTGTGCAGTTGGTACCAAAAAACAGGTCTCATATTAGCGTGTAAAAAAGAGAAAAAGAAAAAAAATATTCATGACGTCATAAAAACCAGGTTGAGTTGATGTTGTGGGGCCCCATCTTCATCCTGGAAACTTCAAAAATTACTGTAGGGAAATTTGTTGCTTGTTATGGAAATTTAAACATTAACAACAAGGACATATACTGACATATAAAGAAAGACACAGATATGAGGAAAAGCAAAGAAAGTTTATCAAGTATATAATTATCCTCATTCTGTCCCATTTCATGGCTCCTGATCTGAGACAGAAACTCTGAGATATCTCTTATCAACAGGCTTGGAATTGAAGAGGGACTGAGCCATAGTCCAACTCCAAAACCAGCTCTACATATTTATAAAGAAGCGTTCAAAGAGAAAAAACAAAAGAAAATATATATATATATATAAAATCAATACTTACTTAATATGTAGAATGTTACTGTTGATTCTTAGTGGGTCGTAACTATTTTCCATCCATCAGTTATTAAATATTCAGGGTCCCTTAAATTCTTTGAAGGTTTTTCAGTATTTTCCTGTGGAGATAAGAAAAGAACCCCGGCCCCCAACCTATCTGTATTCCTTACCATCAGTATGCTCGCCATCCTTGTGAATGAATTGTTATTTATCTTTTCCAAATGGCTTTTCTTCTTCATACCAAACCTTTATTAATTTTGACGGTATCCACAATTGTTCCTCACCCGACGTTGGACGCCAAAATGTAACGGTGTAAGCGAATGCAGACAGATTGTCAAAATATAGACAGCTTTAATGGAGGAATAGACTTACAGAACCACCGTTCCTGCGGAGACCAGGAAAGCAGAAGCGAGCGCTGGGAGCATGCTCGCCAAATTTATAGGAAAACTTTAGCCTGAGGCGAACACGCCCCCTAAGGGGTGGGACTTATCCCTACAATGCTAGTGTTGCAAAACCTTTTGAACTTTTTAATGTCCACGGCAAGGAGTTCAGAACAGTCGCTGGCAGTAGAGGTTTCAAAAACTGTAGCTATATATGGCTTGAGTGCACCTTTATTTCAGTGATGAGGAAGCTGGTCCCCGAGACAGAGCCGTTTGCCTGGGGTCACGCTGTTGGTTTAAGACAGAGACAAAACTACTCCCCAGAATCTTTCTTGCAAAAGCAATGAGCTAGAAGGCACAGTAAATGTATAGCTATCTGGATAATGCTATCCTCCCGTGTTCCCAAGATTTGTTCTTTAGAGGCCCCAGACTAGGGCCAGTTGAAGTAAAGTCTTTTTTCTCATGGCTAAAGTTGTCCAATTTCATCAACAAATCCCGAGAAACATTTGATACATATCAAGATGTGCTCATCTCTTGAGGTGCAAGGGCTGTTTAAACGACAGGTGCCCCGTGGGCTAGAGCTGGACCTTCTCAGAAATCATCTCAGCAGTCTTCCTCTCACGCCTTGGGTCAAAGAGAGGGTTTCCTGAGGCTTCACAGGGCTGAATCGCCAGAGGCCTGCTTGCCTCCTCTTCATGTCCCTACTCCACATCCCTCCTGCAAACATCTGGTGGCGTGTGTTAGGGACATTTCCATGTTCTCGTCTTAACGAGTAGCTTTGGTGTGTTCCATTTCTGTTAGTTTTGACTTGGTTGCCAGTGCTCTTTTGTTCCTCCGGAGATGAGAGAACGAGTGTTTGGTGCTGTGTTTACCTTCACAGAGGTCACAGACGCTCTGTATGAGGTACTAGAAATGTCCAAAGCTGTGTGTGTTTCCCATAACTTTGGTTCGAGAAAACACACGGGCCCTTCAGTTATGTATTCACAGATATGTAAGCAAGCACCTCTCACCTTTTCCCGTGTGAGAGATGATTTCTGGATAATTAGAGAATGACATCACAGCCTTGAAAGTCACTGACTCAACACTCAGAGCAACTTGCTATGCACGAAGCTCTTCC